CATCCATCCACTCACCCACCCACCCGCCCATCCACCCACCCATCTACTCATCCACCCATCTCACCCATCCATCCACCCACCCATCAATTTATCTCCTGCTTTGTCACCTGTGCCGTCAGTATCCCTGGAGTCTGGCGTCCCATGTGGCAGGTCCCCTCTAGTTCTTATAGCAGAGCTTCCCTCTGTCCTGCATGGCTTGCAGCAGCTATTTCTTTTTTTAAAAAAAAAATTTACTTATTATGTATACAATATTCTGTCTGTGTATATGCCTGCAGGCCAGAAGAGGGCACCAGACCCCATTACAGATGGTTATGAGCCACCATGTGGTTGCTAGGAATTGAACTCAGGACCTTTGGAAGAGCAGGCAATGCTTTTAACCTCTGAGCCATATCTCCAGCCCTTGCAGCAGCTATTTCTACACCATGCTGACTCACGTTGTTCCTCATGCCTGATGCTTGTCCAGGTGGTGGTATCCCGCGTGGCCCGTGTGTGCAAGAATGATGTGGGTGGCTCCCCACGGGTGCTGGAGAAGCAGTGGACTTCTTTCCTGAAGGCCCGGCTCAACTGTTCTGTGCCTGGGGACTCGCACTTCTACTTCAATGTACTGCAGGCTGTGACAGGTGTAGTGAGCCTGGGTGGCCGGCCGGTGATCCTTGCTGTCTTCTCAACCCCCAGCAACAGGTCAGCCAATGCCACAGGGCGCCCACCAGGGGTGTTTGGTGAGCAGAATCCCCGGGTTTGCACATTCACCCAGCAAACATTCTGAGTCCTGTGTTGGGCGGCATTGGTTCCAGGAGACCTCCATGCCAAGCTGGGGCCAAGGAAAAAAAGAGACACTCAGAGTCCTGTGGTCCCTCGGGACATGGCGGGAAGGGCTCCTGAAGAAGGGACACTGGGGCCCTGGAAGAGGGAACAGGATAGATGAAGATTCAGAGGCTGTATGCTGGTCTGCGAAGGAGGCTCATGTGTCAGGTGTCACAGGAGCCAGAGGGATCAAGAAATATGCTGGAATGATGGAGGATCACACATGGAGCAAGGCTCAGACTTGGGTCCCAGAGCACAAGGGAACCATAGGCAAATGACGATCCATAGAGAGAGGTCAGCAGATGTGACTGGAACACTAGACAGTCAAGCGAGCCATGGTGGGAACTGAGCAGATGCAAAGGCCCTGGGGGTGTTCGGGAGGTGGAGTGGCTTGTGTGACTTCATCCCCACCTGGCTCAGCAGTGTCTCTACCCTCCTCGGCAGCATCCCCGGCTCAGCCGTCTGCGCCTTTGACATGAACCAAGTGGCTGCTGTGTTTGAAGGCCGCTTCCGAGAGCAGAAGTCCCCCGAGTCCATCTGGACGCCAGTACCTGAAGACCAAGTGCCACGGCCCAGGTGAGAGTGACACCCAGCTTGGGAGAGGAGATGGTGGAGGGAAAATGAAAGAAGCTGGTGGAGGAAGCAACACCAGAGGGATAAGCCAGGCAACGTCTGTGTGAGGCCTCAGGGCAAATCAGATCACAGTGCAGAGGTCCTGAAGCTCCAAAGAGTTTAGAGTTGAAGTCAGAGTGGGGAGCCATTCAAGCTGCACCCCAGGTACTCTGAACCCTCCTTGACTCCCCTTCTTCTGTCCTCCCTCAGGCCCGGGTGCTGTGCAGCACCCGGTATGCAGTACAACGCCTCCAGTGCCCTGCCCGATGAGATCCTCAACTTCGTGAAGACCCACCCACTGATGGACGAAGCGGTACCTTCTCTGGGCCATGCTCCCTGGATCGTGAGGACTCTGATGCGGTCAGTGCTGGGGACGGGGTAGTTTGGGATGTCATGGGGGGCATAAGGGCCTTCATTGATTGAAGGATATGCTGGGCAAGGACAGCTCATGCAAATGCCCTGGGGTAGGGAGTGGGGGGCACAGCCTATGCCAAGGGCCCAAGGCAGTACCTAGCATGACTTCTTAGTGTCATGTGCATCATTGTGTAACTGTCGGTGTGTATCTGTGTAACTACTCCTACACCCCACAATTTAGGAGATGCTTGATACCTGGAGTAGGAGGCCTGCAGGGCTTCAGGACCAACCTGACCTCCAACTCCATCTTGTGTTCTAGGCACCAGCTGACTCGAGTGGCTGTGGACGTGGGTGCGGGCCCATGGGGCAATCAGACAATAGTCTTCCTTGGCTCTGAGGTGGGCACCGTCCTCAAATTCCTCGTGAGGCCCAATGCCAGTGTCTCAGGGACCACCGGGCCCAGTGTCTTCCTGGAGGAGTTTGAAACCTACCGACCTGACAGGTCTGGGGATAACCAGGAGGTGGGAGCAGCTGGCTGGATGCCAGGGTGGGCACACCAGCCTCACTCACCACTCTGTATGCCCAGGTGTGGACGGTCCAGCAGCGGTGGTGAGTGGGAGCAGCGACTGCTGAGCCTGGAGCTGGACACAACCTCAGGTGGCCTGCTGGCGGCCTTCCCCCGCTGCGTGGTCCGTGTGCCCGTTGCCCGCTGCCAGCTCCACTCGGGGTGCATGAAGTGAGTGCCTCTTCCGCCCCAAGGCTGGCACAGGGTGGGAGGCAAAGGCAGAGAAGACAGCCAGATGTCATTGAAAAGCTTTGGTTTATGGAGAGGTGAACTGGGCAGCACACACAGCTGTGCAAAGGCCCTGGGCAGGATGGAGCCTGTGTTGGAGGAGCAGTGGGCAGACTGTGTGGGCTCCGGAGGCCATATGGCCCAGGTCCCCTGAGCAGCTGTTACATGCTCTATCATAGGAACTGTATTGGCAGCCAGGATCCATACTGCGGGTGGGCCCCTGACGGCTCCTGCATTTTCCTCAGACCAGGAACCAGGTACGGGGGAAGGAGGACATGTGGGGGGGCGCATCTGAGGATCCACGGTCCACGATCCCCCTCCCTGTGCCATGCTGGGTGCAAAGGGTTCTCTGCTAAGTCTACTTCTGTCCCCTTCCCCCATCTCAGTGCCACGTTTGAGCAAGATGTGTCCGGGGCCAGCACCTCAGGTTTAGGGGACTGCTCAGGTAAGCTGGGAAAGGGACTCCCCTGTGTATCTGGGGGTGAGGAAGGTAGGAGCCTTTGGAAGGCTTTGGGCAGAGACAGTGACTCTGTGCTCCTGGGCGCCCTCTGGTGGCGACTGCAGGGAGGGATGAAAAGATACGGACTCCAGGAAAAAAAAAACACGGACAAGGGGCGTGGCTCAGACACAAAGTTCATGCCTGGGGGTGTGGTCGGGGTAGAGCCTGGGTCTAGAACCCCCAGCGATAAACTGGGCTCGGTCAGGGTGGAACCTGCCCCCCCCCCCCCAAAAAAAATGGGCGTGTGACTCAGTGCCTGTCG